TTGCTTAGTGATAAGCATTTTTATCTTACAAAAATTTCAAAGAAATGGCTGTTATCAACAGTGTTTCCAGTGGGAGAGTTGCTGAGCAACTTTGTTTTCTCAGGAAGGTCTAAAGGACATGCAGTTTCAGTAAATGTTTGATCATATTAACCTTTCCTTTTTATCTACAAGAGTAGTTAGTGAAATGTTCATGCACAAATAAATAGACGCTTACAGTGTATACTAGTGTATACTACTAGTCTAACAAAGGTGGGTCTCTTTTTCTTTTGAATATTTATTTTGAAAGTAAGAGTCCACATGTAAAGTCATAAGCATTAGCCTAATGAAAATGAGAATTAGAATTAAAAATCTTAATACCACTCATTAAGAATTACTAGAAGCAACTATTTTTTGCTATGTTTAATATCATGCCATGTTTTTGATATATGTGCTCTTTCTGTAATCTACTATGAGAGGGTGGTATGGTAGAATATATTGCTAAATAAATTTAAAATTTCCCTAATGAGTGTGAATTAAATTTCGATGTATGTTTGAATGTAATGTGAATTTCCTATTTCTACATATAGAGCACAAATTTATGAAGGCAAGGTTTTAGCATTACCTGTCACATTATTGTACCATGTAGGTTATGTGAGCCAAGAATGTTTATCTTAACGAGAAATTAGTAACCCTTGAAATATATCTTTTCCATGAAGTTCTTTCAACCTAGAAAGTATAGAGCATTGTATTTTGTAAGGCTTGAAAAGGAAAAATAGAAAGCCAAATTTGTTTTCAGTAACTTAGAACAGATTCAGTTTGTTAGCTCAAAGGAGACTTGACAGTTGGAAACTCTAACTGATCATGACCACGAAATCGTTTCATGGTAAAAAAGAAAGTATGGGGCCTCCCCGGTGGCGCAGTAGTTGGGCGCTGGGTTGCGATGCTGCCCACCGCCTCTGCAGCGCCGCTTCGATCCCCGGCCATGGGTGAGGATCCCACATGGCGCGCAGACCTCTCCTGCCACGCGCTGCTCCTCTCAGCAGTGTGCTTCCTCAGTCTGCCTGTTCTGTTCCCAGCTCTGGCTCTGGTGAATTCTCTCGCCCACCCGCACCTCTGACTGTACCCAGTGCTTGTATAAATAAATAAATAAATAAATCTTAAAAAAAAAAAAAAAAAAAGCCATAATCTGTAAGCAAATAAAATGTAGTTGCATTTTCCAAAATATTTAACTACTATACAGACACAACTATATATAAATATATATATTTAAAGATTTATTTATTTATGCATATAAGAACTAGGGTACAGACCAGAGGTGTGGGTGTAAAAGGATTCACCAGAGACAGAGTGGGGTACAGAACAGGCAGATTCACTGAAATACACTGCTGAGGGGAGCAGAGGGCCAGTCAGGAGATGTCTGCTGCGCCTTGTGGTTAGCTCCCTGGCCGGGGATCGAACTCGTGCTGTAGTGGCTGCGGACAGCCTCATAGGTTGTGTCTTAACCCCTTGCGCCACCAGGGAGGCCCACAACTGTATATATTTTTAATTGATTCTGGATTTCTATGAAAACGGCCTATGTGAAATTCCACAAATATTTGTTAGACCTGTTAGTTCAAGGAACAATGGACTAATAAATCATTCTGTCAAATTCAGAATATTTAAATCTTCCCTCATACCCCTAAAATGGCAAAGCTGCTGTGTTTCCAAATGCATAAATACAAAGAAAATATAATCTAGAGCATATAAATAATATTATAATAGATCATAATATCTGCCATTTAATCCTGTGTAACTAATGTGAATTTAACAAAGGATTACTGTCATGCATTTATTATTCTATGGGTCAATGCAATATAGTTTAGCTGAATTGAAATATTATAGTATAAAAAAATCTTACCTACACCTTGCTGACATGGTATGAATCCTTTTGATGGAAAAAATTTAAGTCTCTGTCAGAATTGGACAAAAAACTACTGTAACAATTATTGACCTTTATAAAGTTGTTTTCTTTATAGCCAAGAGTGTACAGAAATCAGTCAGATTAACATTTTATTTATTTTTTTTTTCTTTTTTTATAGAATGTTGTTTGTTCGTTTACATGCACTGGTACAGTCAGAAGCGCGGGAGGGTGAGAGAATTCACCAGAGCCAGAGCAGGGAGCAGAGCAGGCAGAAGGACCGAAGGACACTGCTGAGGGGAGCAGCGGGCGGCAGGAGAGGTCTGCACGCCATTACCCTCCTAGCAGCAATCGAACCGGCGCCGCAGAGGCAGCAGGCAGCCTCGCAACCCAGCGCTCAACCGCTGCGCCACCGGGGAGGCCCCAGATTAACATTTTAAAGCAGTGAACAATATTTTCTCAAAGATTTGTGTTATAATTTTTAAAATCATATTTCTAAAGTAATTTTATTAGCAGAAATTGCCAGTTAGCAATATTAAAAAGCTTCTGTGTTATCAGAAGCTGATATGATCACCTGATCATATCAATAGAAACTGAGAAAACTGACAAGATACAACATCCATTTATTATAAAAACTCTCCATAATTGGAATAAAAGGAACATTTCTTTACATAATAAAAGTCATTTACAAACCCACATCTAACATCATACTAAATGGTTAAGAGCATTTTCCCTGACAGCAGGAATGAGACAAGGTGTCCATTCTCATTATTCCCTACAGACTGGAAAAAGATATTTGCACATCACACATATAACTCAACTCATTTAACTCAACAACAGCAAATAACCCATTATCATCTCATCTTTGTGAAACCAGCCTACATCATCAAGTATTGACAAGTATTGGTGAGAGTGTGGAGAAAAAGAAATACTCATTCTCTGTAGCAGTCTCTATGGAAAATACTAAGGAGATTCTTCTAAAAACTGAGAATGGAAATAATGAAATTGTGGCATTTTTTTCTGTGGAATACTACTAATCTAGAGGGAAAAAACCATGCCTTTTATGACAATATGGATAGAACTTAGGGTAATTTTCTCACTTTACAGTAAGTGAAACAAGTCACAAAGTCAAAAGTCAGCTACATGATGATTTCACTCATTTGCAGAATATAAATAACAAAAAACCCAAACTGGCAAAACACTACAAAATGACCCTTTGATTCTGTGAAAAATACAGTTACCAGAGAGAATAGGGGAGGATGAAGAGACGGGGAATATGTGTGATAAAGTATTGGGATTGGAGCTTTGGTGGTGGGTGAGTGAAGTATGTGTACATGTTGAGGTGTGAGCTGTACTCCTGAAATTATATAGTTTTGTAAAAAAATGACAATTCAATAAAACTTGATTTAAAGAAGAAAAACTATTTTCAAGATTACCAAAATCATTTCTATAAAGTACAAGCTACAAGCTGTGATATGCATTGTCTGCCCAAAATATATTTAAAAGTTCTCACCCCCATCTTTAAAACATATTGATGTCAGGTTTTGTTTTTACAGCTTTATGATTTTAAAAAAGGCTACCTGGTTATTAATAAGGTTCTGCGCCTAACAAAACTTCTTGTAAATGGTCTGAGTTATTTCACTTCATTTCAGCCATACTTTTTGCTAGCGTATTGTTTTGAATTAAGCAATATCTTTTTTTGCACGAAGCTTTTTGATTAATTACTACATCTGGAATTTTCATTCCCCTAACACTTACTGTGCATTTACTATATTCAAAATGCATGATTCCAAGTCATTTAAAATTTAGTCATGATTCTTAACAGCTGTAATCAAAAGAGAAAAATCTTTCATTTACTCAGTTCTATAATCGATCTCATTTACCATCAACGGTTTGAGGATCAACGAACACAAGAACTTGCGCGTGCCTAATATTCTAAGTCATACAACACAATCTCGGTTCCAGCGGGTATTAAGAACACTGTTGTGGGCCTCCCCGGTGGCGCAGCGGTTGAGCGCTGGGTTGCAAAGCTGCCCGCTGCCTCTGCAGTGCCGGTTCGATCCCCGGCTGCTCCCAGGCCACCAGAGGAGGGTCCCACATGGCGTGCAGACCTCTCCTGCCGCCCGCTGCTCCCCTCAGCATTGTGCTTCGGTCCTTCTGCCTGCTCTGCTCCCTGCTCTGGCTCTGGTGAATTCTCTCACCCTCCCGCGCTTGACTGTATCCAGTGCTTGTATAAATAAAACAAACAAACAAACAAATAAATAAATAAATCTTTAAAACAAAACAAAAACCAAAACAACAACAACAAAAAACACTGTTGTAACTCCAGGACAACTTGGTCTAGCAGGCAATCCACAGCCTCTCCTTCCTACACCTGAGTTTCTTTATAAAATAGAGGTTTTGGAAATGATTACTAATAAAGACAAAGCCCTAAAACACCATAAAGCTGCTTTTCCTGTATTCCAAATCTACAAAAGATGAGCGATGGGGATAAAAACTTGCACTTGGACACGGTCATTTAAAGGAGTGCAAAGAGTTCTCCAGCTCGAAAAGACCGAGGGGCGCAGATGCGGCCCGGGGACCCCGAGACCGAGGGCTAATCTCGAGCGGCCCCACAAGGGGGACATCAACCCACGTCACAGCTCAGAAGGGGTGGGAGTGCGCAGAGTGACTCTCGCCCCGGCGAGGTCCGTCTCTCCCGGGCCGGGAGCGGGAGGTCGCCAGGCCTGGGGGCGGCGAGCGCGAACCAGCCGCAACCGACGCCCGCTCCCCGACGCCCGCTCCCCTCCTAGCTTGGCTCCTCCTTCCCACAGAAAAATGCGTTTCCAGGCAACGGCGGGCCGCGGCGTCACTTCCTGCCATTTAAACTCGGGTCTCCACCCCTCGCTGCCCCTTCTCCCGGCCGGTGCTCCCCCTCCCCCCGGAGGGGCTCGGAGCGCGCTCCCCGGGCGAGGGGCGGGGGCGGGGGCCGGCGCGCGCAGCGGCCGCGGTCGGGGGGCCGCGCACCTGTTGTCTGCGGAGCCCGCGCGCCTCCTCCGGCTCTCGCGGCGCAGCCTCTCGGGCAGGTGCCCACAGGCGGCGGCCGGCCGTGCGCGGGGTCCGACCACCGCGGCGCGGGAACGCGATGGCGGCGGCGGAGCCCGCGAACTCGGGCCAGGCGGCGCCGCAGGGGCAGGGGCAGGGCCAGCGGCCGCAGCCTCAGCCTCCTCAGGCGCAGCCCGCGCCGCAGCCGCAGCAGCTCGGGGGCGGCAGCAGCAGGCACGAGAAGAGCCTGGGGCTGCTCACTACCAAGTTCGTGTCGCTGCTGCAGGAGGCCAAGGACGGCGTCCTGGATCTCAAAGCGGTGAGCGCGGGAGGCGGGGATGGGGGCGGACTTGGGAGCGCGGCCCTCGGGGGAGCGCACCCCCCGTGCCCAGTGGGCCCGGCGGCGCGGTGTGGACGCGCCCCGCGGGGGCCGGGCGCCCCGGAGCTGTGGACGTGCAGGCCCCGGACGCCGGGGTTGGGGGTGGGGTGGCTAAGGGGCTGGGGTGGCCTCGGCCGGCCGCGGAACCAATGGGCCCCGCGCGGAGCCCGGCTCTCGACAAAGAGCCCGGGACCTCGAGCGTGTCCGCGTGGCTCGTGTCGGGGCGCAGGGACTCGACGGCGACCCGGGCCTTGGCCCCGCGCGCCCACCTGTGGCGAGGCTCGGAGGGTACCTGGCGCTTTGTCCGGAGCCTTCCTCGGGCTTGATTGTGCTGGCTGTTGGGAATAGATGGCTTTAATGGGCGATTCCAGTTGCGAACGTGTGCCCGAAGTTGGGGATGGGGGTGTACGGGGGTGGGGGAGAACCCTATTTTGCCACCTTTTCCCAAGGGGGGAAAAAGTGACTTTTCCACACCTCTCCCTGTTAAAATAATAATACTAGTTTAAAGAAGAACCAAATTCTTGCACACTTCTTCTGTACATTATCCTGGTAGGAAGAGGATTTGATTTGTAACTTAATTTGGTATTTGTTATCGATTTCTTAAAGAGAGATTTGCCATCATACGAAAAGGGGCTGTTTGATAACTTTTCACCTAAAGAAGTGGAGGCGCTCAGTGAACTCTGCTGTTTCAGGAGAACGCGTGCTTCCTGGTTTACTGCACTTGAGATTTTTCAAATAACGTATCAAAAGCTATTCGGTTAAACAAAGTGGCTTAACCGTAGCAGGCAGGATTTGGAAGGCGTGCGCCGAGGTGAGGAACAAGAGAATGTCATCACTTGAATTCAAATTCAAACAGGACCTCAGGTTTGCTTCGCAAACATTCAAGAATTACTAATGAGTAGTTAACGCTCCCTGGGCGTTGCTGCTAAATCTGGGCTTATACAATTGATGTAGGATGCACGGATTTTGCTTTTGGAAAGCAGTTCCTACTCACTTTTTAAAATATTGACTCCTGGAATTTTCTCACTCCTTTGGTAATTCCTTGTTCGATCTCCCCCCCCCTTTTTCTCTCCCCTAAAAGTCCTTTGTGGCATTTGTAGTATTTAAATAGATGTGAACAGGTAGTCATATAAGGTCGTCAAAGAAAGCCAGGGATGTTACAGTATGCAACTTGCCAATAGATACTCAAATTCTAGAAATTTAGTCGTAGCCTGTGACTTCCGGAAAAGCATCAGGGAAGTTTGGGATTTTCCAGATAAAGCTGAACTTGGAGCACTGACTTTGAGGGCTTCTCCCTCAACTTGCCTCAGAATGTGATGTAACTTTTCTTTGATGGCCTTTAAATCGTTTCCTTTTTCATCTGTGGTAATATAATTGATGTCCAGAAGTCACAGAAGCAGTTAGTGGACAGTGGAGTTTAATATTTTATAAAACATTGTTCATTCATCCTGCAACCTCTCCTTAAAGTACCAGGGTTTCAGCAGTAATGCCTTTTTATATTAATGAGCAGTTGAATGTTTGTTTGAATGTTGTTCTTTTTCACATATATGAAAAATAAGTATTTCATTTATTTACATCCATATGTGTAAAATTGCATAAATGTAAAAGGCTTACATTGAAATTTTTCCAGTGGTGTTTCTTATTGTGCTTTACAGTAAAAGATAATGAAGTCAGTTTGGGTGAACGTGTTGAGGAAGGACTAACACTGATAATTATAAATTTTCCCTAACTTGAAATTATAAAATCAGTTTTTTCACATACTCTTCCTTTGGGGTGATATATTTCAGCGTAAGTTATTGCTATTTTTGATTTATACACTTGCTATTTTTGAAAGAAGCAGTTGATGAAACAATTTTTGTGAATATTAAAAGTTATATCAACCTTCACAAATAAATATCTTGGCTATCCATTAAATATCCAAATATTCAGTTAGTAACATAACTGAAGATATAGCTTAACAAAGTAAATTCTAATAAAGCCATTCTGGTATAATTTAACAACTGGGAGAGAATAGAAACACCTTGAAAATAGTTTGAGAAAATTTTATTCAGTATCTCCTTCCTACTCTTCCACTCTAAAGTCTATTTACAATTCAAGGACATCCTTTTATATTACTATCCTTTTAGTCCAGTGAGATTAGTAGTTGCATCATTTGTCTTTTAAAGCAGTTATTTATGTTGTTAATAGCTAACATTTACTGAGAGCTTCCTTTATACCAGGCATTTTACATATGTTGATGAATTTTATCCTTTTCAAAGACACTGGAAGGTTGAGCCTAACATCCCCATTTTAAAGTTGAGAAAACTGATAGGTTAAGTTGGCCAAGTCAAATGAAGCAACTTGGCTCTTGTCCTGCAGTAGAAAGTGACTGCATTAAGATTTGAAACTAGGGCCTCCCCGGTGGCGCAAGCGCTGGGTTGTGAAGCTGCCCGCAGCCTCTGCGGCGCTGGTTCGATCCCCGGCTGCTCCCCGGCCACCAGAGGAGGGTCCCGCATGGCGCGCAGGCCTCTCCTGCCGCCCACTGCTCCCCTCAGCAGTGTACTTCGGTCCTTCTGCCTGCTCTGCTCCCAGCTCTGGCTCTGGTGAATTCCCTCACCCTCCCGCACTTCTGACTGTACCCGGTGCTTGTATAAATAAAAAATAAAACTTTAAAAAATATATATATATTTGAAACTAGACTATTTGTATTTTCTATCTTACATTGCCTTCCTAAAAAATTATTTTCTCACTTAAATGTTTCATTTGTGTGGGAACATAGACCTTTGTGAAGAAAAGTGCATGGTTATTTTTATCCCTCTACCCATGACTGGAAGGAGAGGGATGCTCTGCATTGGTAATGAGAGTATTGGTGGCACATTTTATATTATTCAAAAATTAAAGTAGAGGTTTATTTTTCCAAAGCTGGGAATTTGAAGAATTGTTAGGATAGTTTTTTTTGTTTGTTTTTTTAAGATTTATTTATTTAAACAAGAACTGGGGTACAGGTCAGATGCACGGAAGGGCGAGAGGATTCAGCAGAGACAGAGCGGGGAATGGAACAGGCAGACTGACTAAAATACACTGCTGAGGGAAACAGCCGACGAGATAGGTCTGCAGCGCCATGTGGGTTGCTCTGAGGCTGGCAGAGATCGAACCAGCACTGCAGAGGCTGCGGACAGCTTTACAGCACTGCGCTCAACTGCCTGCACCACCAGGGAGGCCCTGAGAATTGTTAGGATAGTTATGACAGTCTGTAAGTTGTTTTGAGAAATCCTATTAAATGTAATTTATTTATTTATTTTTTAAAGATTTATTTATTTATACAAGCACTGGGTACAGTCAGAAGCACGGGAGGGCGAGAGAATTCACCAAGTCAGAGCGGGGAGCAGAGCAGGCAGAAGGACCGAAGTACACTGCTGAGGGGAGCAGTGGGCGGCAGGAGAGGTCTGCGCGCTATGTGGGACCCTCCTCCGGTGGCCGGGGAGCAGCCGGTAATCGAACCAGCGCTGCAGAGGCTGCAGGCAGCTTTGCAACCCAGCGCTCAACCACTGCGCCACCGGGGAGGCCCTAAATGTAATTTATAACTGAGTTTTTGTATTATCATTTTGGTGCCACCTTGAATTTTTAAAAGTATGATCAGGATTGTTAATCTCTTTTATTATAATTGTTTAAGTTACAAATTCCTTGAATGACATCTGGGTTAAAGTATTTATGGTGTTTCTTATCTCACAGGTCCCTTAATTATACCCATTCATGATAAGCTGATGAATACCCACTCTGGAAGAAACAGTTTAATTGAAGGCTTTAATTTGTGATGCCAAGCAAATAGTGCTGTCACTAAATGAGGAATTAGTTTAAGGAGAGGTGATGTGTAGGATCCTTTGATTATTAGTTCATGCTTAAAATTGCTAGGACAATTCACTTCCAAGAGTATACTCCAAAGAATTGAAAAGGGGGTCTTGAACAGTTATTTGAACACATGCTCACAGCAGCATTATTACAAGACAAGGAGAGGCTAAAGTTGCTAAAAAGCAAAAAATTGCCAACATCTTGCTCTTGGACTTAAAGCTTCTCAAACTGAAAAATAAATTTCTGTTGTTGAAGCCACCTAGTCAGAGTATTGTTATGGCAGACCTAGCAAACTAATATTGTGGGTATAGAGTTTCATTTAGAAGATGAGAAGATCTCTATAGATTGGCTGTACCACAATGTGAATTTATTTAATACTACTATACTTGAAATGATTATGGTAGCATTTATATGATAATTGTATTTTAGCACAATTTAAAAAATTTTGTAAAACAAAAAGCTACCATTATTTATCTGTTGGAAAGGAAAAACTCCAAAAACCCTTAACACCACCAAATGCTGGTGAGGATATGGAGTAGCAGGAACTCTTATTTATTGCTGGTGGGAATGTAAGATGTTATAGCCATGTTGGAAGATAATGTGGCAGTTTCTTACAAAACTAAACATATTGTTACCATATGACCCAAAAACTTGATATTTACCCAAACATATGTCCACATGAAAACCACCACATGATTTTTTATAGCAGCTTTATTCGTAATTTCCAAAACTTGGAAGTAACCATATATCTTTTGGTAGGTAAATTGTTAAGTTGTACATTCAGACAATGGAATATTATTTAGCACTAAAAGAAATGAGCTATCAAGCCATGAAAAGATGGAGGGCATTAAATGTGTTTTACTAAATGATAGGAGCCAATCTGAAAAGGTTACATACTATATAATTCTGACTGACATTCTGGAAAAAAGACAAAACTGTGGAGATAGTAAAATATTAGTGGTTGCCAAAGGTTAGAAGAGAGGGAGGGATAAGTAGGTGGAGTACAGAGGATTTTTTTAGTGTCTGTATGATACTGCAATGGTGAAAAAATAACCAATATTTGTTAAAACCCATAGAATGTTTAACATCAAGAGTGAACCCCAATGTAAAGT